TGACCCTTTTCCTATCCACCCCGAATACCAATTCGACCTTTGACCTAGCTCTGCCTGTCTTACAGTCCAAATCAACCTTTATATCTTCACACGACCCACCTTCTTCAAGACACACAGCTGCAGGTTCCACACTTTGGGCCTCCAAAGTCCAATCCCACACCCCAGCACAAGCTCAATGCCCACACACCTGTCCCTCCTATCACCCCCTACTGAGCTAATCAATCGATGTTTCTTAAAACCTTTATACCAATATACCTGCTCCTGCCCTCCTGCCAACCTGGATTTAAATCTAGAATCACCCAACCTCTACCTTCATTATTCATTTATTTGTACCAACCAAATAATGAGGGTACAATCATTTTGCTTTTTGTCAGCTAGAAATTATAGTTATGTCCTAAATGTATGATTACATCAGGACCCTGAGCTCCTCATTCCAACTTGCAAAAATATAACTTTTAAACCTTACATATGCATACAAGGATGAGAGAAGATTACCATAAAAAAGCCAATATCAGATTTTGTTTTCCAGCCTTTTAGTTAGGGCAAAACAATCCACAAACAGAAACATGTTTTCCAAGTACATCGAAATAGGTTTCTGGGTTCAGGGTGGGTGTCTCTGTTTTAAGGTTGAGATGAGGGATTAGGTAGGAGTGAGCAGTCTTGCTTTTATGAGTTTAATGGAAGGAGGTTTTTTTATGTGTTTCTCGGGTTTTTCAGTTTTGGTTGGGGTGGGGATCTCAAATTGTGATTGATGATTTTAGGGTTGTTTTCTTAAGGTCTAAGGGGTTAAATTGATTGTTTTTCCTGGGTTGGGTGATGTCTCATCACCCAGTTGTATCCTCCTTTTTCTGTTTCATTAATAAATTTTCCTCCTTATTTATCTTCAAAAAATGTTTTTCAAGTACAAATTTTTTAATCAGTAGCATGCACGAGTTAAAACTTCTATTAATAATAGAGAAAATACTTCTGGAAATTGGACGAATCTAACACAGGAGGTTAAACACAAATACAAAGCAGCACAAGCTGATAGAACAAATAAAGAATGTATAGAAAATTCATCCCCGAGCATAAAGCCTCCCATACAAGTCATTCTCTCCATCCCTTCTATTGCTAGTGTATTAAATAAGGCATTGAAAGACCTACAAATAGGGGTGCAACTTGGGTGGGCTCGGGTTGAGTTTTTGTCAAAATTTGAATGGGCCTGGCCTGAAGCCCAAGCCTTTAGTGTAAAATGTTAAGTTGCACCCTACTACAAGCCCACTTCAATGACCTATTTAAAGTGGGTGTTAATGCCTTGGCCCTTTTAATAGCAAGTTTAAGAGGCCAAAGTCCGTTTATAAATGAAGTTATCCATTTATTAACACCATACAGTCTCCTTCCGCCAGTAGATCATTCCAGCCTGAAGAATAGGCAAACTTGAGAAACATGAAAAGATGGGTTAGCCTGAGAATGGTCGGTTCGTGCAAAAAATGACAGAGGTTAGGTCCAAATCCATTCTACCCAATCAAAAATCCCAGATAGCTAGATCAAAATTGGGTAATGACCTTTTTGAAATTCTAGCCCACTGGCTTCAAAAAGTGCATGGGCACAAAAAAAAAGGAGACCCTGGGACAAGTTTGATAGAAACGCCAGTCAACATCATCATGTAGAATTGAAGTAACCAATGTCCTAGACTTTTAGAGTGTATGCAAACCTCTGAGGCTGTGACGTGACAGTAAAGTAGATAACCAAGTACCATTGTTGTCCATGTTTGATACATGAAAACATGGCAACTTTCTATTAAAAAATAGCAACGCATAATAAAACAAGCAGTAAGAGAACATCAACTTTTTACTATACCTGTACGTTAGTGAAGTGGGGGGTGCACAGGGAACTCCTTGCTTATACAAGTTGTAAGTCATATGTAATTCTTTTTGTCGGTCACGATGCTAAAATCTAAATAACTTCAAATAAGTTGGTCATATCTAAATGAACTTTTGCTTTGGTAACTTTTTTTCTATTCCCTTCATTTACAGAAAATCACGTGTGTGAGTTTTGCAAGATCAACAAATTTCCCATTTCTCAACTGCACAATGTGTTAACCTTGAGAAAAGTTGTGTTGTGGGGGTGAATTTGGAGGAGGGAGAGATCAGGGAGAGTGCTGAAGTATTGGGGTGTGAAGTCTCGGGCTGGCCTTTGAACTACTTAGGGTTGCCTTTAGGGGATAATCCCATGAGAGAGAGCTTTTGGAA